GAAGAAGAAGAAGAAGAAGAAGAAGAAGAAGAAGAAGAAGAAGAAGATTGCAGTCTTCCTCACTCATGAGTCATATGATCCAGACCCAAATTAGTCTTTTCCCACTTTAATTCTTTTTTTTTTCCTGACTGCTCTTAAAACTTGGGAAAGATGGGCACTTGTTGTGGTTACAAGTGCTAGTAGCTCAGGTTAGTAACAATTATAACATGAATCACTAGGAAAAAGGCAAGTTATTAGTTTCAATATATTTCTTTTTAAAAATATTTTTATTTTAATACAAACAATCTATCTTCCATTAAACAATGTGTCATCTGGGTACAAATGTCTTGTGCAATAACAATTAAAATTTACAACCGTATTCATTATTTGTCTACTCTTAATACTGATATACATAACATATCTAATACTGTAGCAATACTGTAACAATAACAAAAAAAACCCTCATCTTAACCTATTTAATTCTATTGATATATTTTCTATATTTCACTAATCTACTTTTATTTCTAACTCTCAATATTTTTTCTCTAGTCATTGGTAGAATACTACCCATATAATATAATATTCAGTTTGTTCCTTCTCTTTAATTGCAAGTGTTAACCTTTTCATTTCTGCACATTCTAATATTTTCCTAATCACATTCTCATCCGTAGGAATCTCTTCACTTTTTCAGTTTTGTGCAAATATAATTCTAGCTGCAGTTAATACATGAATAATCAGATATACATTTTCTTTACTATAAGTTTCTGATAAAATCCCCAGAAAAAATATTTTGGGTTTCAAATCAATGTGCTATTGTATCATCTTCTCCAACCATGTATATATTTTTGTCCAATATTTTTTGGCTTCTACACCTGCCCACCACATGTGGTAATATAACCCAGGTGTTTGGTGGCATTTCTAACATTGAGCTGATTTGTCTTTAAATCTCCTTGCCAATCTTGCCAGTGCAAAATGCCATCATCTATAAAACATCTTGTACAAGTTTTCTTTATATGCAGTTGACATTGTTAATTTATAGTTTCTATCCCATAGTTGCTGCCATTTTTCTAATTCTATTGTATTTTTGCCCCGTGCTATCATTGTCTCCTTCACTTGTTCTTCTTCTAATTTAATACCAAATAAGTAGCTATACAGTTCCTGATGAGATAGAAAAGGAAGGGAAAAGAAAAGAAGTAGCATAGACATATGTCAGGAGTCTCCAAAATTGTCAACTTTAAGATCTGTGTACTTGAACTCCTGTAATTCCTTAGCTGCCAATGCTGGCTGAGGAATTTTGGCAGTTGAAGTCCACAAGTCTTAAATTGCCACATTTGGAAACCTCTGACATATGGCAATCTTAAATCTGCCCTCAAGTTGGAGGAAAATGATTAATTTTCTGCCTAAAAGCATTTTTGTCTCTTTTCTCTAGGAAAAGAGACACTTCCAGCTGTAACCCTTATATTTTCCATAACTCTCAATCAATGCAAGCAGCAAAAAGGTTGATTATTTGCTCATTTTGTTGAGGGCAAGGGGTTTTTGGAACCTTCCTAGGCTGAAAAATAACGGTTATCTGCCCAAGATCTCCGCGGACATCTACATTTGTACATTACCTGTTGGTGTATTATACACCTTCTGGTCACCATTTAAATACAGTGAATATTACATTCACTACCTTTGCTTACAGAGCAATATTAAAATTTCCAAGAAACCTATCATTAGAAATGGTAGCTCCCGTGCCAGTCTTTTTCTCTTTCTATAACTTTGCTCTGCTCTGCCCTGCCCATATCACTACAGTTGATATGGCCTCTAAATGTTAGTTTTGTTCAAAAACATTACTTTATTCTAAATAATTAGTCATTGGTTTACATGAAAAGGAATGTGCAGATTTTCTTTAAAAAAAGATAAAGAAACCCAAGGATTGTATAAAGGAATTTTCATTAGACTGTGCTGATTTTTCTTATGTGCATCCTATAAAATGCATCCAAGCACTGATTCGGTAGGATGAATGTTGCTTATGTACCCAAACAGAGATAATGGTCTTTGTGAAGGTTAATAAACAAATATAATGATAAATAATTGTTAAATATTGTAAATTCTTTTGAATGCAGCTGCACTTGAACTGCTTGTGCAAGGTCTATTTTATCTATTTCTTTCTGCTTATCTAGCATTTGACCTACATGCATGGTCTCCCACAGAAGCTGCCTGAAAATATTGCAAGTCATTTCAGAATAAAATGTTTGCAGGAGGGACCCATTTAAATGTTCTTTAAATCATTTGCTTATAAAGATTTCCCAGATTAACTTGGTATCATCTTTACTTAACAGATTAATTACTCTGTAGTTAGCTATTAAACTAGCAATTAAATATTTGTCTTCATGATATACTCCTTGGCAAATGAATTAATTAGCACTGAATGTTGAGAAATGGCTGCTAAATAGCAGGCATTATGTTGTAACAGAATAGAGTAATTACATTTCATTACGACTATTATTAATTTGATTAACTGAATAAATGTCAAGTATTTCCTCAACTCCTACTCCAAGCTGTATCATACTGTTTGAGAATCAGATACAAAAGTAAGATGCACACACTATCTCAGTACAATTGCTAAATTATCGTGTCTGGAGTTAATCACAGCGCAAGACGATGAAACACTCATCTTCAGAACTAAATTGTAACAGTTATCATTATAATCATCATCATCATCATGCTATCTTCAATGCTGTCATCAGGCCAAATAGTAAAAATGCTATGAAAAAAAGATTGACAATTTTTTAAAAAATACTATCAGGCATGGATATATTAATTATTACCAACATTTTGTCTTTGATGGAAGTTGAAGCACTGTTAATTAATACTTTCCCATGTAGATAGAAGAGCTCCAGGATTTCCATTCTATATGTAACCAAGCAATAAAAATGATTACAAAGGCTTTTGGATTATTGGACTCTGAATTTCAAAAACTTAACATGTAAGTATTTTTTTATTCTACAGTTTACTTAGAGTAAAATCATTTTCTCAAAAATCATAAAGTTAGGTTTACCGTGCAAAAAAAATCATAAGCTTAGTTGTTATTGTTTCAGAATATAGTACAGACTGCCTGCAAATGTAATTGTTTCATCTTCATCTTAATTAACTTTTAGTCAAAGTCAGAATAAAATATGAAGCATAACATGGTGATGATTGTTATCACCATAATTTTTTAATGGAGGATTAGAAACAAACAAAAGAGAAACAAAACAAAAAAGAAAAACCATCAGCTTCCCTAGCTGAACAGAGGAAATTTCTCCACGAGAGGAAGAGGCTTTCTTGGACTGAAGTCCCATATATACAATATAATTATTTATTTCCAATTTAAAAAAAAAATGTAACTCATGGGCGTGGAGGCAGTGTCCAAATTCAAAAGAAGTATCTTGGCTTTTAAGAAGAGATTGGATAGGGTCTCCTGTCTGAACAAGGGATTGGACTAGAAGGCCTCCAAGTACCCTTCCAACTCTGTTATTTTGTTATTCTGTTAGCTGCACAGTCAAATGCCCTTCCCTTTTTATGTGTGTGGCAAAAATTGAGTGCGCACGTAACAAGGAACAGGCCTTCAATTGTATGGGATTGGTTACCTTCTTGATTTCCAACCCCTCTCCCAAATCCAATTGGAAATAGGCAACACTGACCTAGGTAAAATTGCCTTTTAATCATTCTCAACTTCTGGTATCCTATAAGACAGATCCATGTTCTTTACCTGACAATAGTATAGAAGAAATTTGTCATCATCTTCTCCATGATATATTTCCCAATTGAGACCATATTGTGAAGTTATTTTCTATTTTAATTAGACAGGTGAAAAACATAAATAAAAACAATATTCCTGATCAATTCCTGTTCTTAGTTAGCTACAGGCAGTATTCTGGCATTCTTGCTGGGGAAGATTTTTTTTTCTCCCAAATAAAATTACATTAAAATATGAGGTATATGTATTGAGTTTAATCAACATAAAACTATAGAAATATAATACATGTTTATGGTACTTCTTTCAATTACAGTATATGTATGAATGGATGTATATAGTATTCCTATATATTTGTTCTGTACATATATTTATTTGTGTTTGCTTGCTTGCTTCTTAAAATAAAATGTAATTCTTATTTTCGTGGATGTATCATTTCAGGATAAAAGCTGAACTGGCTCAGGCAACCAAAGCTTTTCAGCATGAAAAAGAACGGTATGACAAAAATCTGAAAAACCAGCAGAAGGTAGGGTTTTGGTTATTTCTGTTAATACTAGTGTTGCAAATTGGGCCTACCTTCATTACCAATTCTGTCAAGACCTTCAACGAGCTAATAGCTTCTGGGAGACCCAAAATAAAATTATACTTAATAAGTAATGCAATTGATTAAATATTTTTGAAGTTGGTAGCATTCAAGGCAAACAAAGAAACACTTGACATTTAATAGTTAAAATTAAGTCATACAGAACTCCAAGGCAATTAATAATCCATGGGGAATTTGATACATTGACTTCAGTGAGAGATAAGACCTGCAGTGAACTCATAGAAAAGTATGGATCACTTCTGTGGAGTCTGCAGAATATTCAGTTATTATTATCAAGTAAATAAAAGGAAAAAGATGCAAAAACATCTTTGCCATAGAAAAGGGTGGGAAAAAAGTTTAAGGTGTTTTGTTATAGCAGAGAACAAGAAGTTTATAACATACAGCATTCATAAAAATCTACACACTATAAGTTCCCCTTTCGTACAGATACCACCTCTCTTGGGAAGGGAGAATAAAATAGAAAGAAGGTTACATTCCTGTGGGGCAAAAGGGAAGAATGATGATTACTCAACCAAATTTGTCATAGGTATACTGAAAGCTGGTGTAGTAAGAAAAGAGGTATTGATTGTCATGATCTCTCCTGGAAGGAAAGGGAAATTTGAGTCTGTGGATACCTCTTCCCATTGCCTTTATCTCATTATCAGTCACTGAATTCCTAATTCTTTAAGTTCAAGCATGTCTGGTCATGAGGAACAACAAGAAGGAAGACTTTAAAGGCTGAAAGAGAGCAAACCCCAAAGAACTGAGAAGGAAAATACAGTACTAGAAAGAGAGAGAAACATTATATTTAAAAATATTTCAATATAACATTAAAATTACAAAAAATACATATTAATAAAGGAAAATTACAAACTTAAAAAGGTCATATTATAGCACATGCAAGGAATAGAATTTGGTGTCTGGACTGGTGAATGGCTACTGCCAGGCAGTATTGATCTTTAAGTGTCAAAGAATTCACAAGACATATCAAAAAAAAATTTGTATCTGCCATTCTTTTGCTACACTCCAATAATCAGCTGTGCAAATGTGGGAGGGATAAAAGAATGTTTTTAACAGTCTTAGCTAACAATTGTTTGGATAAATCACTCTTGGATCCTTTTTAAAGTCTTGAGCTTCCTATCTTTGACTAGAGTAAAACAACTGAGACAAACTAGTGGAGCCAGTTAGGGAGGATAAAGCGACTACGTAGCATTTGTTTAGCACTACTTACAGCTGCATTCATTTAGATAGCCTTCACTTGTTATAATTTCTAATAAAGCTTGGAAACCAATGTGAATTAGATGGTGTATTTATGTAGTTGGTAGACTGTGGTAAATATTCTTAACTTTCTAATAAAGATTTTTTTTTCTTTAACTCAGGAACTACAAGTGATGCTAGAAAAACACAAAGTCCAAAATGAAGCATGGCTCAAAGCCAGAGCTGAGGAGAATGACAAGGAAAAAGAGGAACTCTTCAAACTGAGAGTAAATATTTACAAAACTCAAGAGAAGGGTAGAGACTGGCAAGTTTCCCAACATTTCCTTATCCTCTTTCCCTTGAGTTGCTTTTGATGTTCAACATAAAACAACTCCCTGGAACAAAATTTCAGCCCTGTAAGATAAATAAAGTACCCATGTTTCAAAACTAAAACCAGTTTGATAAAGCTGCTGCATTTGCTGGAGCTTGGGAAAGTTAAGATAAATAGCGTTTTCAGAAATAATATTTTTCTTTCTGTTCAGTGACTTTGAACAGGACTCTTAGTGCCTTCTAGATTAAATAATTTTGGCCAAATTGCAATGGTATCCTTGAAGGATCTATGAAGACAACACTCAGAAAATCTCTGCTCCTATGGAAGTTGTAGCATGTAGTCCTACCTTAAAAAAGCTTTGTTTTAGTCTAAACCACAAATTTTGGTGAGAGTGGGGTGAGAGAAAGAGATTTGGTATTTTCTGCATAATATATTCAACAATAATATTGTTTATATCATTTTTATGATTTCACTATTGTTAAGCAGTGTTGCAATCTGGCCAGAACACATTCAGTTATTGGACAGCTAAAATATTTAAATACATGGATATTCACTAGGGGAATATTAAATTGCCAGTTTGTTCCATTCGTGTATTGAGTTGGGCTGGGGAATCTATTTTGGATGCAAACTGGAAGAGTGGAGCTAAATTTTCCAGTCTTTTTTAATTATACAGCTTTAAAATAGTTTTCCGGAGTTTGATTCCAGGGGTGGACATGAAGTGAGCAGAGAGAAAAGATCTTAAAACTATACCATGCCCTATGGAAAGCTGTCAGTTGAGTCTGTGAAGGTACATCTCAGCCCTAGTTTATAAGTGAAAAGATTTTAAAATTTAATATACATCTAGTAGTCCCAAATTTCAAGTATAACCCTAAGTCTATTTTCCATTTTTGCCTTTTCTAAATACAATATCAATTTTTCATCATAACTATAAAAGTGTATCACAAACAATTATTACATTTTAAAGTAAAGGTGATCTACCACAGCTTAAGCCTTAATAAAATTCTCAAACCTCATTTTCCTCTCACCAGAATCACTTCTAGCTGCATCACAATATTTCAATTCCATGTAAATCAGCAGCAATGCTTTGTGCCATTTTGAAGTTCAACTCTGAAAAGCCTGAGTGCTTTCCTTCTTTAAAACAACAACACTCCCACCCAAAAATTGAATCCTTGGGTCATGTATGTTTGACA